GAAGCCATTTATAATTTCTTTGCTCGATGGGACGAACTGCAGCAGGAGCTTAAGATCTCTGTCAAGTGTGATTCAGAAACACTGTGGGGTGCAAGAGAAAATGCAGTAAAAGTTGTACATGAAAAAGCTGGATGAATTGCTAGGACTGTTAGAGCAATTAAGTGAGAATGGGCAACACGGCTGAAACAAAATGTGGTGCTCATAATATTCTGCAACGCATGCTTACATTTGATTTTCTTGTACTTTTGCATTTTTGGAGAAATCTTTTATCATCTATCAATCGAGTGCAGAAACGTCTTCAGGACCCAAAAATGAATTTTAGAGAAGCAGCTGCTGATCTTGATTCTTTGAAAGAGAAATTGAAAGAATCATGTGAAAAGTCCTGTCAAGAAGCACTTAAAGTGGGCAAGAATCTATGTGAAACATGGGGATTGACCATTGAAAGAAGAAAAATACGTCGTAAACGAATGCCGGGTGAATATGCAGCTGATGCTGGATTGATAGCTGAACAGGAAATTTATCGCATCATGAAGGATGTTATTGATCGCATGGTTACAGAAATAACAGGAAGATTTTCTCGCTTACTAGATTTATATTCATGGTTTGGATTTCTACTAGATGTGCAAAATATTGTTTCTGGAGATTTCGAAGACGGAAATTGCAAGAAAAATGTTCTGACTTAGCAAAGAGCTATCCAGGTGATACTGATGGACCAGAATTGTACAGAGAACACAGACCAATTTTCCCGAACCAATGGTTGCAACTGATTTGCTAACATTTATAATTTCATATGGTGAAGATGTTTTCCCAAATTTAAGAATTGCATTGCAGATTTTTTAACAATTGGAGTTTTTATTACTAGTTGTGAAAGGTCCTTCAGTTAGCTGAAATTAATTCTTACATACTTGAGAACCTCAATGACTCAAGAACAACTTAGTAACTTGGCAATATTAAGTATTGAAAAAAGACGTACTTAATACCTTAACTTTTGATAGTGTAATTGATGCATATGCAGCAGCAGCAATAAAAGCACGAAAGGTTCATATAATGTAACCATGAATACCAGAAGGCTACTTGTACAATATCTAGTTAAGTATATGTACAGTTTTGTAAACTAATAAAATTTTTAATTTGTAAACTAAACTAGTATTTTATCAATCTGTTTTATAATCCATGTACACAACAAGTGACTGGCTTTTCATATAAAACATAAGTTTCAAAACTAGGGATATAATGGAAATTTATTCTGCCTGCTTGAAAGATTACTCTAGCTACGTGACTTTGAACAATACTGGATGATATAAATATCAAAATGGTTTACAAATTATGTAAGTACACCTAGTAGGCTATACTTCATTAGTTCCAGGTTTACAGTTGTGATATCGTGAGATGTCATATTGTGACTTTATTTTAGGCCTGTGTAAGGCGGTAATTAATTCTTTATGTTATGTCATTAACTGGGTAATGAGTCACAAAACAAATAATCAAAACATTTCAGAGGTGGGGGTGCCAAAAGTGTCTCTGCCCCTGGGTGCTGAGAACCTTTCCTATGCCACTGCTTCACATTCCCCTTCTACTCTTCATTCTAAACTTTTTGACCCTCAGTTTGATTCTTGAGGTGTCTCCCAGATATTTTTATTTTATTTTAATACATCATCATATTTCTACCCTTCACATTTTGATTTGTATTGTTTTGAGGCATTCGTAGTTATTCTTCTTCTTTTGATTATTTAAATTAGGATCACATATCTACTTTGATGTCTTTCTTATATGTCTCACTTTTATTGCTGGTTACCATGTGGCTCATATGTTCCTTTTTGATTTTTTGGGTTGTAAAATACTCATTTTTTAAACAGCTGACCTTGCTCTCTCTCTCTCTATATATATATATATATATCTATTTCAATTTACCTTTTTTGTTGTTTAGGAGAAACTATTCAGCAGGAGTTAATTGAAATTTCCATTTACTTATGATCATCATTCACACCCACTCATACTTTTAGTGTTGATGTAAGCAAGGTGGGTTTTTATGACGTCCTGATTTCTATCTGTTCTGGGTGACTGTTGTTTTGATTCATGATTTGAGTCATGTTTCATCTATGAACTCTTTGCTTGGTTATAAGTGTTGTAGACTATAATACTTTGTCGTATTTATTTTATGTTTAAGATGTAGCTATTTGATGTGTGATAGATTTGCTGCTTCTGTAGGTGACAAAAACTTGTTTTCTTATATATTATTCAATGGTGTCTAGGTGATATTATGTATTTTTGTATGTTCTGTAATTTTCTATTGACTTCTTCATTAAACGTTTTGTAATTACTAATTTTCATATATCAAGACTTCTGACTGTTTTGATTATGTATAAAAATTCTGTATGTATGTAGTAAAGTCTTATGATGAAAAATCTAGTAATATATTTTTCTGTTTTTGGTGAGCCACTGACATACTGAAAAACTAGGAAATCATTATATCTCTCTTACCATTACACAAAAAGTTTTAATTTATTTTGTGTTTAAAAGCCTTAATGGTGTTAGATTACAAGAGTTTACAAACAAATGTGTAATTAAAACACTTAATGGTGGTACATTAGAAGTGTTTACAAACAAATGTGTGATTAAAAGACTTAATGGTGGTACATTAGAAGTGTTTACAAACAAATGTGTGATTAAAAGACTTAATGGTGGTACATTAGAAGTGTTTACAAACAAATGTGTGATTAAAAGACTTAATGGTGGTACATTAGAAGTGTTTACAAACAAATGTGTGATTAAAAGACTTCACAGTTATTGGTAAGAAATATGATCTAATCTATTAATCTGATCTTAACAGTGCCCTGTCTGACACTAAATATGATAATTCCAATGGATTCCTTACAGACTGTTTTGGTTAAGTTTGTTTGTAAACACTTTGTTACGACAACGGAAGTCGCGCGACACTTGGAGCATGCACGCTTGAGTTTCTCGAAGGATCATGAATTTGCCCAGCAACTCTAGTCTGATTGAGCTGCCCTCTTTTTTAGTATATAAGCCTGAAAAGAAAAACCAGCATGATATTGAAGAGATAGATATATAATTGAGTCAAGCGAACAGTA